ACAAGAAGAAGAAGAAGAGGAGGAGGAGAAGGAGGAAGGCAAAGAAAAAAAGAAGAGGAGGAGGAAGATGAAGATGAAGAAGAAGAAGAAGAAGAAGAAGAAGAAGACGAACGAGGAACAATACAAGAGCTGGAGAATGTGCTCGGAGAAAAGGCTTGAAGGGGCTAGAGAATGGGCAGGTAGAAAGTCTTGAAGGGGCTGGAGAATGGACAGGGAGAAAGTCTTGAAGGGGTTGGAGAATGGACAGGGAGAAAGGCTTGAAGGGGCGGGAGAATGGGCAGGGAGAAAAGGCTTAAGGGAGCTGGAGAATGGACAGGGAGAAAAGGCTTAAGGGAGCTGGAGAATGGACAGGGAGAAAAGGCTTAAGGGAGCTGGAGAATGGACAGGGAGAAAAGGCTTAAGGGAGCTGGAGAATGGACAGGGAGAAAAGGCTTAAGGGAGCTGGAGAATGGACAGGGAGAAAAGGCTTAAGGGAGCTGGAGAATGGACAGGGAGAAAAGGCTTAAGGGAGCTAGAGAATGGATAGGGAGAAAAGGCTTAAGGAAGCTGGAGAATGGACAGGGAGAAAAGGCTTGAAGGGGCTGGAGAATGGGCAGGGAGAAAAGGCTTGAAGGGGCTGGAGAATGGACAGGGAGAAAAGGCTTGAAGGGGCTGGAGAATGGGCAGGGAGAAAAGGCTTGAAGGGGCTGGAGAATGGGCAGGGAGAAAGTCTTGAAGGGGCTGGAGAATGGGCAGGGAGAAAAGGCTTGAAGGGGCTGGAGAATGGGCAGGGAGAAAGTCTTGAAGGGGCTGGAGAATGGGCAGGGAGAAAGTCTTGAAGGGGCTGGAGAATGGGCAGGGAGAAAAGGCTTAAAGGAGCTGGAGAATGGACAGGGAGAAAAGGCTTGAAGGGGCTGGAGAATGGGCAGGGAGAAAAGGCTTGAAGGAGCTGCAGTTGACCGATTGCAGGAAGAAGAAGGATAACATTCCCTCAGCATAAAAAGAGTTAATTAACAACTGAACGGGACAGAAATAGTTCAGCAGTATTAGTTTTAAAAAAAAGTAAGTAAAGGACCCTTTTCCAAGCCTTTGTGCATATAGGACTAGACCTATATTTTTATAAACCAATTGGCACTTGGTGGGTCATGTGGTCAGCATCACACCGGCAGCCTTTACTTCCCAGGACTACACCTGGTACCCACTCTTGGCTGGGTCGACCTGAGAGTCAAGGTCATTTTTGAAAAAAAAAGTCAGGACCCGAGCCTACGACCTTCCGATCTGCAGGCGGGCATCTAGCCGCCATCGCCACGGCGACTCCCAGTACAGCAGTATAGTGGTGTTAATTAGTTCGGTTATCCACAGCTAAGCTGGACCGATACGGTAGAACGACGTGCCAAACCTTCAGACCGGTGAAGATGAGATCATTCTCGTGGCGTGGTCTGTGTAACAAAAAATCCAAAAATGTAGCATTATGTAGACAGAACTGACTTGTGCTTGAGTTCTGTAGTGAAACGTGAAGATTGTTCCATTATTTAGTTTTTTGTATCCTTTGCATGGCTGTTTGTACACGCACAGGGGGCTGTGTGGTTTCGAGGCAGAATGTGGAGTTAAAAATCTACCCAAAGTATTTCAGGATCCTCGCTGGAGTTACAGAACCTGTGCACTGTGCTGAGCTTCTTCGGACTTGAGTTAGAAGAAGAACGGAGCAATTATGGGTTACTACCAGTGTGCAATGATGTTGATCCGTTGTTCAAACCCACAACAAAAGTCAGCCTTTGTTTCTCCCTCAGTGTTAAATATGTTGCATAATCTCTGTTCCCCCCCCCCCCTTTCTTCGAATTAGTCTTTTTTTTGGGGGAGGGGGGGGGGGGGATCACCCGTGGAGAGGTCCCGGAAACCCCGGTCCGGCGTTAGGCTATATTTATGACCCGGCTATATATTAGGGCCTCCTGCAAAAGCAGAGGTAGGGCTTCAAAACAACAAAAATTTGCATCCCCCACAGGGGGACGACTTCGAAACTAAACAAGTGTTCGCTACCGAAAGAGTTGAAGGCGAGCACAGAAGAAGAACACTTTACGGTACTAAAAGTGTTCACGCACATTTTTTAAAAGTTAGTTGCGTATCGTTTAGAGGACGTTGCAGAACCAACCCCGGCATTGTTTGGCTGTTGTGGGTTTTTTTTAAAGGCCAGTTTACGTCTAGTAGGTTGCCATTACTTTTTGGACGGTTGGCTTCTCAATACCACTGTCGAAACCAACACAAGGCGTAAGGCCCGCAGCCGAGATCGAATCCGGCATCTCGGCATTACGAAGCGCGTTCGCAACGCCCAAGCTACAGACGCCGAGGTTCACGCACGTAGACATGAAAATGAAGCTATTTTTGCTTGAAATTGGCCAGCCCACGAAACAACGCCGGTCTCTGTCCCACTTATATTTCGATGCCACACTTAGTAGATCTGCAGGAAACGGCGCGCTATCAGATACACGAGAAACATAATTACCCCAATTCATGTCGGCAGGAA